GGGAAGCGGGTGGGTTCGCACATGCTCACTCCCCTTGTGAGCAGTTCGGATCACAAGGCAGAGGGCAGCATCAGGAATACCATTTCCCCTGCTTCTCTCTTGCAGCAGCCAACGTACGTCCAGGCACTCTTTGACTTTGACCCCCAGGAGGATGGTGAGCTGGGCTTTCGCAGAGGAGACTTCATCCATGTCATGGATAACTCAGATCCCAACTGGTGGAAGGGGGCATGCCATGGGCAGACTGGCATGTTCCCCCGTAACTATGTCACCCCAGTGAACCGGAACGTCTAAGAAGCAAAAGAGATTATTTAAAGAAAGTGAAAAGTTGAGACCATGCGCAAGAATTACACCCACATGCTGCCTGTCACAGCCTGTGAGGGAACGCAGAACACCTGGCTGGGTCCCACTGGCGACCCTCTCACTTAGGTTGTAACTTTGGGGGGTGGGGTGGGAAGGGGCGTTTGATTTCATAATGCCAAAACTTAACCTATTGAATTGAATTATGGTTTTTATTACAGAATCTCGCCGCTGCTCCTGTACCCTCATGTGTCCTTTTTCTCATCCTTTCTTTCCTGTCCTTCAGTGCATGACATTTAAGGTCACATATAGTCCCAGATGATGCCAATAATAAAAGAAAAGAAACCAAGTGGGCTGGCATTTTCTCTATGCAAAATGTTTGTGGAGATTGATGGACTAAAAGAGCCGTATTCTTCACACAAGGGATGACCAGGGCATCTGGGGCCCTTGGTTGGGCTTCTACCAGAGACACCCAAAGGCATCTGCCTCCAGCCCCAAGCCTGGAGCATTGTATCACGGTTGGACTTACGGGAAGGAGGCACTGCCGCCCACCTGTGGTCCCCTGAGGGTCAAACTGCAGGCCTGTGCCTCTCCCCACTGTCACCCTTCAGTGTCATCAAGACGTTGTTTTTCATAGTGCCTTTTTCTTATTTCAAGGATGTTTTATGAGTGGTGTTTTTACTTTTTTTTTTTTTTTTTTTTTTTAAAGTAAGTTAAAGACAGTCCAGAGCTTTTCAGCTGAGAACTCTCTTGTCCTGTGTAAATACTTTGAGGACAGGGGAAGCAGGTAGAGAAAGGAGCAAGCCGAAGCAGAGGGTGTGGGTGTTCCCCGTCTGGGATAGGCCAGAAGTCTCCCAGGCATTCACTGCATCGCTAACTCACCGAGCCTCAGAATGCCTGGCCTCAATTGTGGGCTGCCCTTCTATGCCCAGAGCAAGTGTGAGTATCAAACGCAGAAAAGATGGAAGAGCAGGTAGCGTCCAAACTGCTCTCCTTCAACTGTCAAAGGCCTATGCTCAATGGAAGTTGAGGATAGGATACTGGCTTTTCATATTTCTTGCTCTTAAAATTTTAGGTTCTTGTTCTTAATTGTGTATTTTTTAACCTGGCCAAGAGTGCAGTCGGCAGGACCGTGGGGTTGCTTGTATCTTTCTGTTCAGTGGGTTGTGTTTGCAGCTTTTCTGCTGCCTCCAGCCCATGAAGCCTTGCCAGATGGGAAAGACCAAGACCATTGCAAAGCTTTTTGCATCTGTCTCCGGTGAGCTTTCAGTCCTCTGTAGCCATGTGCCTGTACACCATCTCTTTCCATGCAGCCTCTTTCCCACAGCAGAAACAGGGCTACTCCCAGCCTGTTCCCTTGGAGTTGGTGGCATCCTTGAGCTGCTAGATTCTTCAGGGTGGGGTCTCCCCTGGACTCCGTTTTGTGGGCTTATCTTGGAGACCTAAGGCCTAGGAGGCAGCCTTCAGGTTGGAGTGTGTTCCCACCCTCCTGGTTCTGCTTCTTTCCCTGCTGATGATAACAATAATCTCTGGAATTACACCTGGGTCATTTGATTGTTTTATTTTGGAGTTGGTGTATATCATGAAGCCTTGCTGAACTAAGTTTTGTGTGTATATATTTAAAGATCAGTGTTTAAATAAAAAGACCTATGTACTTACTCCTTTAACTTCTGCGGATAGCAATTTGGTAGGTAGTGATTAACTGTGAATAAACATACAATGAATTCTTCACTGTGTATCTTCATTTCTCCCTGATGTTTTTATAGACGGTGTATAAAGCTGGAACTCAGAGATGTAGCCCCTCTGATCCTAGGGCAGATGATGTAGTTCATCATCTAGAAATTGGTTTAGCCCAAGAACCTTGGGAGACATGGAGCCAGGCTTATAAGGCTGCTCCTCGTCTGTGCCGAGGGTGTGGAAATACCAACCTCTGAGACACATGGGTCAAGACTGCTGCTGCTTAGGGTGAGACAGACGGGTAAGTAACCACACAGTGCTGCCTACACACACAGCAAGGTTAAAGGCTGAATGAAAGAAATGACATTGAGCAAACAGTCTTAGTTGTCGTGTCACAACTGGGAAGTCCATGGTCCGTCCGTCCCCTTGCAAGAGGGAGTTGCGCCTGTCCCTCCCAGCTGGCCCCAAGTCCATGAAGACTAGCTACCTTGAAGCCGAGCAGAATCTTCCCAACATGGGACCACCAAAGTGGGAGGCAAGAGATTGGCCTTGAACTCCCATTTGTGTCCTTGCTCAGTTTGGCCCCTTCCTGTTTGGAGAGTTTTTTTTTTTTTTTTTTTTTCCCAGTGCTGGGAACCCAGAGAGCCTTGGCAACTTGCTAAGCAAGCACTCTCACTGAGCTGGACCCTGAAACCTAGTTTGGCCCCTTCCTGTTTTGGGGGTTCATTTTTTTCCCCAGTGCTGGGAACCCAGAGCCTTGCACTTGCTAAGCAAGCACTCTCACTGAGCTGGACCCTGAAACCTAGCCCTTCTATTCAGTGGCTTCAGAATTTAGCGTCAGGAGGAATGGTGTAATCCCTCAAGTGGACATGGTGAGTCATAGGTTTTCTGATGTGTGTATTCCCGTTTCTCTCATGGAGTAGAGTACTGGTGAGATGTCTTGGGGGGTTACTTCCCCCCCCCCCCCCCCCCCCGCAAAGGCAACCACCAGACCAGCTCGCCTGTGCAAGGCCTTGAGCGTATCTTACCACTAACCAACTTGGCTTGTCATAGTGGCCCTGCTGGGCCTGTCCTCCTTGCTCTGAAAGACCACCAGGAGTGAGGTGTGAAATGAGATCCTGAGAGTTGTGATGAACAGCTTGGTGCTTCTAGCCCATCTTACAGCACCAGCCAGCTGACTTCTCGACACTGTCCCCTGGGCATGTTTATGGTCTAATGGGCTAGGTGACCTTTAGGCCCAAATGCTTTATTTAGAAAAGTTCCTGGATAGCTAGGGAGATAGGAAGGTGGGTTCCCATTAATGTCTTCCAGATACCAGTGTTGAGAATTCCAAGTCTTGAGTCAGTTTGCCCTTGAGAAAGGGTTTTGGAAGGCTTCCATGTGTGTCCATTTAGGAGCATGTGGGTTTTTTGTTGTTTCAGTCTCATTATTTTGTATATTTTAACTTTTTGCAACAGGACCTCAGTATGTAGCCCTGGCTGTCCTGGAACTCAAGGATCGCTTGTCCTTGTAAAAGGATGTTTATTCACCTGTTTCAGTTGTCTCCGAGGCCTGCTTCTACTGTCTGCTAACCTAGGGCTAGTCCTCAACGCTTCTAGTCTCCATATAATGTAACCTAGGCCTAGAATGTTTTCAGTCTCTGAGACTAACTGCTGAATAAGCTCAATCTTTTCTTGTTGCTGAGCTCTGGGCTGACTGGTTCAAACTCCTTACCCAGGTAACTTACTCAGTCTGGCTTTTCTCTCCTCTGCATTGCTCTGCAATCTGTTCTAATCCCCTGGCTCTTCCTCATTCTGCTCATTTGGTCTCACTGCTAGTTTTTGTTCGAGTTTTGTTTGTTTCAAATTTTATGAGATTTCATTTTTTATTTTATTTTTTATGAGTGTTTTACTATGTCTATGTACCATGTGATTATGTTGCTGTAGAAGGCCAGACCTAAAACTGGAGTTACAGGAGGTTCTAAGCTGCTGTGTGGGTCCTGGGAACTGAACCTGGATCCTCTGGAAGAGCAGCCAGCACTCTTAGCCCCTGGGCCATCTCTCTAGCACCTTGATATTTGTGTCTGAGGGAAGGTGTCATATACTGTAAGCTGGCTATAGTTGCTGTGACCCGAGGCTTGCCTTGTATTGTCTCGATGTCCCAAATGCTTATACCCATGAGCCACTGTTTGGAAGCACACACATACACACCCAGAACAGCTTTTTTTCTTTTTATAGGAAAGGAAGCATACAAGATAGATTGGCTCAAGTATTCCAGCCCAGGCTGGCTTCAGACTCACTAAGCAGCCAAAGCTGGCCTTGTCCTCTCCTGACTCTCCTGCCTCCCCCTGAGTGCCAGGACTACAAGCATGCACCATCAGGTCCTCTGGTCCCCTCAGCAACCTCAGCCTCGAATGGTTGCCATCATAGTCCTAAGGAAAACAGGGAAGGGCAGCTCACATCTGTCAGCCAGCACTCCAAAGGTGGAGGCAGGAGGGTCAGGTTGCATTCCAGAGTCACACTGGGCTATGAGACTGAGATGCCCCATTGTCGCAAAAGAAAATGTAAGGGACTGTTGGAAAAGTATAGTGCCCTGTGCCAGTGTTAACTGCTTTTAAGGTGGGCTGAAGAAGCCATGGTGCACACCTTTAATCCCAGCATTTGGGAGGCAGAGGCGGCAGGCCAGTCTTCAAGTTCAAGGCCAGCCAAAGCAAGTCCAAGATAGCCAAGGCTACACAGAGAAATCCTGTCTCAAAAAAATAAATTGGCCGAAGAGGCTAATGGAGTTGGCTCTGCAGGGGAAGGTACTGCCACCAAACCTCAGAGCCATGTGATGGAAGTTGAGAAATGGCTGTCACAGGTTGGCCTCTGACTTCTATACATACAGTATAGCATTCATGTGCCCACACACAAAAAAGAATATGAGGGACCTGGAGAGATGGCTCAGAGGTAAGAGCCCTGGCTGCTCTTCCAGAGATCCTGAGTTCCAATTCCCGGCAACCACATGGTGGCTCACAACCGTTTATAATGAGATCTGGTGCCCTCTTCTGGCCTGCAGTCATACATGCAGACAGAACATTGTATACATAGTAAATATGTCTTTAAAGAAAAAAAAAATGAGATTGCCAGGCATGGTGGAACACACCTTGAAGCGCAGCACTCTGGAGGCCAAGGCAGGTGGGATCTCCTGAGTTTAAATCCAGTGTACGCCCTGTGTCCATTTCCAGGCCTGCCAGAGCTACACAGTGAGACCTTGTCTATATAAGTAAGGGCTACAGGAGCTAGGAGAGAAGGCACTTGCTGATAATCCCAGCAGTGAGGAGGGTTCCAAGCCAGCCTGGGCTACATGATGAGGTCAGGTCTCAAAAGCACAATTTTAACAAGCCACTTTATAAGGCTTATTGTGCCCTGTTCAAATGGAGGCCTGGAGGTCCAGACTGGACTCCAACCCAGCCCTAAGCATAGTTTGGGGGTTTCCGAAACGCAGCCTTTTCAGCGCTCTTGGCACAGTCCTCAGTGTGAGTCAGCATCCCGACCTGTCTGCCGCCACATCTCTTGCCTGTGCTGCCCTAGGTATGAGGATCTGACCCATGGATCAGCCTCTTCCCCATTCCTTGAGGCATCCTCAGGACCTGGTGACAGTGTCCTGAAGGGCATATGGCCTTTTCTGCTCTGGAGCTAGGGGGCTTCCCCCATGAGGAACAGGCTAAGGAGAGCCTCGTCCATCCCCCACAGATCAGCAGCCTCCTCCACTCCTGCCCTGCAGACATCACTGAGTCATTCTGAGACTGGAAATTACCACATTTTGGTCTTCTGCTGAACTGTTAGGGAGGTGGTGTTCTGCCCAGATCCTTAAACTTCGGTGTGAGCCATGGGCTGGGTGAATTCAGAAAGGAAGTGGGGGACAGCATGCAAATGAGGTGGGTTGTGGGGGGGGGGGGAAGATAGCATCAGCTTGATCTGTTGGTACAGGTACTTGCTGCTGGAGGTGTAATTCAGTGGTGGAGCACATGTGCAGTACAGGCAAAGCCCTGAGATCTGTACCCAGCACCAAACAGTAGCCCCGTAGGACAGGCTGAACAGGGTTAGTGGGAGTGTACAGGTGAAATTTCGCAGTGCCTTGGGCCAGCTCAGAGCTGTCCTGAGCAGCCCTCTGCAGGGCAGACAGTCAGGCTGGGACAGAGGGGCCCTGATCCCCGCCGCCCAGTGGCTAAGCTTTTCACACCAGAGGCTTCCCTCTGTCCTGAAAAGTGGCATCAAGGTGGAGACTGAGTTCTAGAATGCCTGGCTTACAGTAAGAGCTAACAGAACAGAGCCAGAGCCCGGGAAGCCCACAAGAGGCCAAAGGTGGCATTAGCTTAGGCAGTAGGGACAGAGTGGAGCCTATCTCCTGGCCCAGTTGTCCCTTCTGGGTGGTCAGATTTGGCCCTCTTGGGCTCTGAGGGGCAATGTCCTGGGATGCTGGTGTGTGACTTTGTGTGCAGGCATTACTCTATCTTGGCTCTTGCTTGTGACTGAACTCAGGAGAGCCGACAGAAGATAGACTTCCCACAAGTGAGGGCTGTCACCTCTGGGGCAATGTGTCGTCTGTGTCAGTGTCTTCTTGGTGACAGCAGCTACCTTGTTCTAACTCTCCAGGGACCACAGTGAGGAAGAGGCAGGAAAAACTTGAGAGGTCCCTTCACAAACGTTAACGTTAAACCAGGTGCCCAGTCCTTCTGAGGCCTGGGCTTCGGCAGCCTCACCTTTCTCTCAGATCCTGCCTCCTCTGCCTCTGCCCTTCCTCACAACCCTCAGGTCTCTCCTGCCTCCTCATCTACAGATCTGTAACCTGTCAGGTAACCAGCCCAGCAGACGCCACGGAACTGTTGCTCCCCTGCAGCCTCCAACCCCCAGGATGGGTGACCTTTCCCCCACCCCGCCCTCAGCTGTGTGCCTGTCAACTTCAGGGCTGCAACCCTGCCTGACCTGTTGTCCTGGGTCCCCTTGCTCCCACAGCCCTCTGTCCTGCATCAGCAGCTGCAGCCAGGAGTAGTAGGAAAGGACTCGGGGCCCAGGCATGGCTGTGACCGGGCAGGTAGCTTCCTTTTAGTTCTGGGTCTATAACCTTGAATATATGACTTTCCTGAGGCTCAGGAGAAGGAACTTAGGTTGATAAAAGGACCAAGTGTGGCTTGACAAGATCACACAGGGTAAATTTTGTGGTGTCACGGGCAGGAGTTGGGCTCATCTGTGCTCAGCACTTGCTAAATCACGCTGTGCTCGGCTTGTGCCTAAGCCCAATGCTGTCATCAAAGTTCATTTCTTTATATTGATTTATTGATGCTGGGGATCAAGGCCAGGGCTTCAGATATGGTAAGCTTATGTTCTACCTACCACTGAGCCATTTTGCTTTTTCTTTCTGAAACAGCGTCTCACTATGTAGACCTGGCTGCCCTAGAACTTGCCATGTTAACCAGGCTGGCCTTGAGATCAGAGCTCCTCCTGCCTCTACCCCTTGAATGGTATAGTTAAAAGCATGTAGCACCATACTGGCAATATTTTTGTTTTGTTTTTTTATTGAGACAGGGTTTCTTTGTATAGCCTTGGAGACCAGGCTGGCCTTGAACTCAGAGTTCCACCTGCCTCTGTCTCCCTGTGTCCTGGGATTATAGGCATGCGTGCCTTGCCTGACTCTAAAATTAGGTATCCTTATGTATCCCAAGCTGATCTGGAACTCCAGATCCTTCTGCCTCTGCCTCCTTCAGCAAATCCTACCAGCTTATGCCACCAGAACCAGTATTCTTTTTTTTTTTTTTCTTTTCTACTTAGATCTTTGTGCAGTTCTAGCACTCCAAAAGCTGAGCAGTAAGAGCAAGGCTAGCTTGTTGTACATGGCAAGATCCAGACTACCAGGGATACTCAGACTGTCTCAAAATCAAAAACAAAAAGCCAGGCTTAGTGGCACACAACTTTAATCCTAGAACTTGGGAAGCAGAGGAGGCTGGATCTCTGTGATCTTGAGGTCAGCCTGGTCTACATAGAGAATTCCAGGCCAGGGCTAAAGAGCGAGACCCTGCCTTAAACAAACAGAATTAGCCTGACCCGGGAATGATATCAGCCCAGCTCTCCAGAAGCAGAGGGAGCTGATCCAAAGCTTGAAGCCAGCCTGGGCTACACAGCCAGATGCTGCCTTTTAATACATATAAAGGTAAGAGCAAATCCCCTGTGAGATATGTGTTAGGGATTGTATGCCGCTCGCTGGGTGGCAAGGGCTCCTGGCAGCTTTAATTTTTGAGGCGTCCCTGCATGTTCGGGTGGCAGAATGGATATCATCTCTTCTCAGAACTTCCCTGGCTCAGTGTTTTCTATATACACTTTTTTGTCTTGTTCCAGAAAAGGAAAAATAACAACAAAAAACCACAGATCCTCTCAGGGCTTTTGTTCGGATCTGGTGAAATTGTAAACTACCTTCGGAAGTGTGGACAGCTTCTGGAAGCTGGGTCTCCCTGTCCAGAAACTCTGCACAGGCCCAGGGTCATGACCAAGGACTGGAGGGCTTGTGTGTTTCTGATGCTCCCAGATACCTAATCTGCTCTGTTGGGCTTTCTTTTCCCCCTGTTGTTTGGGACTGGGATTCATGTAGCCCAGGCTAGCTTTGAACTCCTGAACCTCTTGCCTTCACACCCTAAATGCTGGGATTACAGGTATGAGCCACCACACCGGCTCGCACATCGAGCAGTTTGCTGCAATCTCAATGAGGTGTCAGGCCCCCAGAAGGTCCCCTGCTGCCTTATCCCTCACTTACTGAGAGTGCAGATGGAATTCTACCAGGCCATCCCCATAGTCCTGTGAGGAGACTGTTCAAATCTCATCAAAAATCCATGACAAAATACATTTTTCTGTAGAAGGGAAGTGAGTCCTTTTTTGAGATGACCCCCTCATGTGAGTGGAGGGCAGTCCACAAGCCAAGTCAGACAATAGGGGTCTTCTCCCCTTGTGGGTCCCAAGGATTGAGCTCTTGGTTGTAGGCCCCGCTGAGCCATCTTAGCATTCCGAAATGAGGTTCTTTTTAAAGAGCAGTTTTTATGTGCACAGGTGCTCTGATTGCAGGTGTGTCTGTGTGCCGTATGCATCCAGTGTCCACCTTAGCCAGGAGAGGGTGGCAGATCCCTTGTAACTGGGGTTGTAGGGCCATCAGCCACGATGGATGCGTGGTGGGAATGGAATCCAGGTCCTCTGCAAAAAAAAAAAAAAAGCCAGCACTTTTTTTGCCCCGAGTCAGGGTCTCTCTGTGTAACCCCAGCTGTCCTGCACTTTGTAGACCAGGCTGGCCTTGAGCTCACAGATATCTGCCTGCCTCTGCCTCTAGTGCTGGATTTACAGAGTGCTCTTAACTGCTGAGTCATCTCCCTAACCACCCTTCCCCAGATGAGGTCCTTATAACGTCCTATAGTGACAGGAATGAACCTTGAAGACAGCATGCCACCCTAAGCAAGCCAGTCACAAAAGGACTACCAGGTTGCTCTTCCTTAACTGTCCAGGACAGGCAGATCTGCTCACTCTGCCTGAAGCAGCTTTGACATTGCAGAGAGGTGGTGGGGACTTCCTGCCGCTGGGGGCTCAGCTCCTGTGGTCTGAAGTGCTTCTGTTCCTGTACCATGGCAAGTGGAGTTAGTGCCGGTGGGTTTGAGTTTATTTGCTCTTGTGACAGTTTCACACGTATGCATAGCGAATTTTAGTAACTTCGACCTCACTGCCTTCTTTCATCCCCCCCCCAACTCTTTTTTTTTCCCAAAAAGCCCCCTTCCTGCTCTTAGGTCTGAGGGTCGCTGCTCAGCGTTGCTGGAATGTGTGGGTGGGGAAGAACTCACTAGAGCGGGGCTTACTCTTCAGTGGCTCCTCAGCCACCTCTAACTGCCATCCGCCCCTGGAGGGGGTTGGGAGATGGTCTGGTGGGGTTTTTGAGACTGTCTTGCTGATAGTCCTGGTTAACCTTGAACTCTCAGTGATCCTCCTGCCTCTGCCTCCCAGGTGCTGGATAACAGGTCTGTAAGTAGCTCCGAATTGTACTCTTCCAAATGCGACCAGCTGGCATGCGGATGTGATTTAGTGGTAGCAGGTTGCAGGCCTGGCACGCACACCACCCTAGGTTCAAGTTGCTAATACCACAAAAAAGATCCCACAACAAAAACAATAAGTAAGATTCTTTACATTTCTGCATGGGTGTGGTGATGTGTGGCCTTTGAGAGGCAGAGGCAAGGGTATTAACAAGATATTCAGGGCCAGATAGGGCTACAGAATAAGGCCCTAGCTCAAAAACTAAATAGACAAGGCTTTTTCAAATCCAAGTAGACTGAGCCTGACCCTCCCCCTGGAGCTGCCAGTGAAGAAAGTTGCACTGCCAATTCACCAGCTCTTCTGGAGATTCCTTGATAGACCCTGCCAGGGACGCTCAGTGTGTTGGTGGGAAAAGGCAACCAGGGGTGCTCTCCAGATGTGCATACACAGCTGGGCACCCAAGAAGACATCAGTTGACCCATCTAACAGGAAATGGGGGAGAGACTGATTTGAGAGGCTGATGGAGGGGCCCAGGGAGAAAGATAGTTGCTTGCAGAAACTCCCTTGTTTTAGGGAGAACATGATTTCCTGATCTACCAAGGTTCAGGAGCTTTCAGGCCTTGGCCTGCACTCCTGTGTGTGTGTGTGTGTGTGTGTGCGCGCCTGTGTGTGAAGTATGGGCCTACACACCACAGACCAGGTGTGGAGGTCAGTACGTCAGGCCTCAGGCCTGGACAGCAAGTACCCTTGCCAGCTGAGCCATCTCACCCTTTCATCTGCCCTTTCTTTCTCAGTCCCATGTACCTCAGGCTGTGCTTGAATTTATTTGTTATGTAGCCGAAAATGACCTCAAACTTCTGATCCTCCTGCCTCTACTGCCTCCCAAGTGCTAAGATAACGGGCCTTCGTGATCTGTGAGAGCTCGGGCTCAAACGCAAGGTCTTGAGCATGCTAAACAGACCCTCTTTTCCAGGACTGTTTTCTCTGCTCCTCTTTGTCCCCAAGGAATACATCCCAAGACTCCTGCAATGCTCCCCACCCTCCACCCCCCTGTAACTACCTGGACATATGGGCAGTAGCTAACAAACCCTGCTTCTAAGACTTGGGCCGCTCCAAAGCAGGTGTTGAGATATGGGGAGACAGATGACATGGTCTGCAGCTGATCTGGGGCCCAACAAAGCTCCCTACGCTATGTAGGGGACAGGACTCACTTCCACTTCCTTTGTACTGGGAGAAAACACCACAGGGACTCAGAAATGGTGATGGGATAGGTGCCGTTACCACAGGCAGAGCTGACTGAGAGCTGGATGCCAAAAAGCAGAACCCTGGGAATGCTTCCCACTGGCTGTCATCCCCAGGGCCCAATTCCCATCCCCTGACTGGTCTGCTCTTGACCGTTACCGGACAGTGAAGCCCTTTCTTTCTTCCCACACTGTCTGGGTTTTGAGCCGTGTGCTGAGTGGATCTGAAAACAACAAATAAGGAACCGTAAGAAGTAGTGCTGCTGCTGGCCCTGGTGCCCATGAGAACTTCCTCTGCAACACCCCGGCAGTGTTGGTTTCCTCATGGTTTCTCGGTAAAAGTGCCAAGGTCTGACACAGAACAAAAATGAGGGTACGCAACCACGCGGACACCTGAACATGGAGGCTTATTCACGGTTGAAAATGTTGCATTTGTTTGTGTTCGCGCCAGGGCGCATGAGTGCGGTCAGAGGACGACTCGCAGAAGCTGCTCTCTCCTTCCACCTGTGGGTTCCGGGAACTGAACTCGGGTCTTCAGGCTTGATAGAAATGCCTTTACCCACTGAGCTGTCTCTTCAGCCCAGAAATCCTCTTCGTAAGTACTGAAACCTGGAAACAACCAAGACACCCTGACAGATGGACGGCTGCCTGAACTGAGTGGGGCGCCACTCCAGATTTTTGTTTGTTTGTTTGTTTGCCTTGGTGCTGGAGACCCGACCCAGGATGGTCAGCTCCTGAGCCTCGCCCCAGCTAGGCTGGGCTCGTCATTCCTGAGAGGCTATGAAAGGGCTCAGGAGCAGCTTGCTAAGTGAAAGAAAGCTCCAAAGGGACCTGCCACGTCCCAGCGTCTGAAACAGCGTGTGAGTGCGGGTCAAAACTGACCAACAGATACTTAGGCTAGAGCGAGAACCTGTCCCAACACAGACACAGAGTCAGGGCCTGGAGAGCTGGCTGTGCAGTTACGGGCTTGTTCTATGAGGCTGGAGAAATGGCTCAGCAGTTAGCAGCACTGGCTTTTCCAGAGGCGCAGGTTCAATTCCCAGCACCCACATGGCAGCTCACAGTTCCTGGGGATCTGACACTGTCACACAGACATGCACATGGGCAAAACACCAATGCACATAAAATAAAAATACTAGAAAAAAAAATCTTCTACTGTTCTTGCAGGGGACCCACATTCAATTCCTGGCACCTACAATGCTAATTCACAATGGCCTGTAATTACTTCAAGACATCTAGTGCCCTCTTCTGGACTCTATGGGAACTGCACACATGTGCACATATCTTCCCCACCCCCACCCCCAAATACACTTAACCACAAATAAAACAATACTTAGCTGAGTGGTGGTGGCATGTGCCTTTAATCCCAGCAACTGGGAGGCAGAAGCAGAGATGGGCAGATCTCTGAGTTTGAAAACAGCCAAGGCTACACAGAGAAACTCTGTCTCAAAAAAAAAAAAAAAAAAAAAATTAAAATTAAAGCTGGGAGTGGTGGTACATGCCTTTAATCCCAGCACTCAGGGAAGCCCAGGCAGGTGGATCACAGTGAGTTTGTGGCCAGCCTGGTCTACAAGGCCAGTCTAGGACAGCCAAGGCTACACAGAGAAACCCTCTCTCGAAAAACAAAACAAAATTTAAGTTTAAAAAAGGCTTCCAAGTGATTCTGTATCAGCGTAGGCCAGATTTGTTTGTAGACTCACGGATCCACAGAGCAGCACGCATGGGGCGCCATGAATTCCACCTTCTTTATCCAGATGGAGAAACTGAAGCTAATGACCCATAGCAAGTTCCCTTCCACCGAGCTCTTACTGACCTCTCCCTGACGACAGGTTGCTGGGCGCCAGTTCCCCTCCCCCCAAAGCAGCTCAGCTGTGAGACGCCACCCCTATTTGTTCAAAACCAAGGAGACATTTATTCCCTCCAAGAAGGTGGGGGAAGTCCAGAAGAACTCTTAATAGGTCTATTTAGGGGGGTGGTGATGAGGTCACACAGGCTTCACTTCCCCAAGCTGACGGGAACTGCTATTTTTCTGACTTATCTTTTCACATGACTGGATTTACTAAATATATTGAAGCCGAATGAGCAGACTACAAATCTGCAAAGGTTAGGACTGCTGTACAAGCCCCAGAAAGCTGGTACCTGTTCAGGTGATGGGGCGGGGGGCTCCCGAGTGTGTGCACAGTGGTAATCAACATGTACGGGGAGAAGAAAGCGGAGTCTAACTGTACATACATGCAAACGAGTGTCTCAACAGAAACACACAGAGAAAAACGGCTCTTCAGCAGAAGCAGTACTCCACATGCGGAAACAGTTAACATGTAAACCAGGGGTTGGGGCAGAAATTCAGCTCGTGTCTCACAGACACAAAAATCAACTCACATTGGCGCTAAGAAGATGGCTCAGCGGGTAGGAGCACTTACACACACCCAGGTAAGAATGTGCCTGGCCATGGCCCCAGCGCTGGACAGGACAGAGACGGGTGGTTCTGGAAGCTCACTGGCCAGCTGGCAGAGCCAAACAACAGCAGGTTTGGGGTACACTGGGAGACCCTGTTTCAAGGCAGTCAGGTGGAGGAAAACGCCAAACATCTTTCTCTGGCCCTCCCAGGCACACAGCGGGACACACACACCTGAACCGGCACCTGTGTGCACAGCACACAGCCAACTGAAACTGGATGGAAGACATAGGCCCATGACACTGCAGAACAGGCCCTAGAAAGCACAGCAGGCAGGAAAGGCTTTACCACAGGGTTAGTTACATGAGCCAGACTGGAACTGGCCCTGAACTTCCTATTTCTGAGTTAACCATCTGGGGTCTGGTGCCCTCTTCTGGCATGCAGGCACACATGCAGACAGAACACTGTATACATAATAAATTAATAAATCTTTTTTTAAAAAAGTTTGAGGCTACATAAGAACCTATGTTAAAAAAAAAAAATCAAGTTTCTGCTAGCTGAAGGCTGGCTCTAGAGATGACTGTGGATAAAGGTGTTTGCTACCAAGATTAACAACTAAATTCAATTCCTAGGACATAATGGAGGGACAGAACTGACTCCTGCAAGCTGTCCTCTGGCTCCCCCTTGTGTACACACACACACACACACACACACACACACACACACACACTTAACAAACAAACAAACAAAAAACAATCCTGCCATTTTTCTTCCTATTTGAAGGACACAACCAGAAAAGCTATCCAGGGACTGGAAGACAATTATTTGCAACTTATATAAGATGTTTAAAAGAAAGAGTTAGGCAATTACTCATTACTGCCCAGCCAGCTGTCTCTAGAGGTGGAATTTAAAAAACCAAAACAACAGCAACAACAAAACAAAACAAGGGGCTGGAGAGATGGCTCTGTGGTTCAGGGCACTAACTACTCTTCCAGAGGACCTGGGTTCAGTTCCCAGCACCCACATGACAGCTCACAACTGTCTGTAACTCCAAGATCTGACATTCTATTCACATAGCCATGCAGGCAGAATATCAATGCACATAAAATAAAGGTATATAAAAATTTAAAAAACAAAGAGAAAAAAAAACTTGAAAAAAAACCCTCAAAATTATAAGTAACAAATAAAATCATGGACTTAAAAACATGTAATGATACATTAACTAGTTGCAGCAAATGACTTAGATCTAGTTCAGATAAACTTTTTTTTTGGTTTAGGGTACAGGGTCTCACGTAGCTTAGACTGGCCTTGAACTCTAAAGCAGGGGATGACTTTCTGATGGTCCTTCAGGTGCCCACTAAATGTTCTCGTCCTAATAGCCCACCTAACATCGACCCGACCCCGGTCCTCCAGGCTAATAACGACAGGCTTCCCGCCATCTTTCCAAATTGAGATTATACGGATTCGGAGAACTACACTGATTTGAAAACGGCTGGTCAAGTTCAGTGAGCATTAACATCACACACCCTCCGCGGACTTCAGATGATCCCGCCACTGAGAGAGGAAGCCTAGAAGGTCGTAAAAGCCAGTTTTGCCGTCCGCGTTTTTCCGACACCGCGAACACACGCGCGCACTCGCTGCAGGACTACACCTCCCAGGAGGCTCTTCGCTGCACCGATGGTAGCAAAAGACTACATTACCCAGGGATACCTCGGTGGTGACACTGCTGGACCCTCCTCCGGCGTACAACGATTCGTCCAGCGGCGACCAGAAACTGAGCGGTGATTGGTCCAGAAGCCCATCAGTTACTGACAAGTGCTGTTAAGTTTTGCTGTTGGGCTACACTGAGAGGGAGAACTGAGCTTGAGAGCCCGGCCGACCCTTCCGTGTCAGGTGAGTGACCTCTGGCTTTGCTCTCCTCCTGGTACGCGCGGAAACCGGTACCCCCAACTCCGTATGTCGGAACACAGAAGGGCAGGTATCCACGCGGGGCGGGGACGGATGCTCATGTGGCACACCTGACCCCAGGAGCATCTTCAGGGACACAGAAGGCGAATCCCTCCCACCACCACCACATTGGCACATGGGGACGTCCACTGCCCCGGACTCACGGAGACCACCCCTCCCTCCCGGTACTCCTGGACAGTGTACCCACGGGCAGCCATCTACAGAGCTCAGCAGAACACGTGGGCTCTCGGTTACTCCCCGAAGGACACCTGTCCAGACCGTGGAGTCTGATGTAGAAAAGGAGCAGGGTGAAGAAACTCGCTTGCACGCCATGCACTGCCACGCAGGTCAGCAGCCGTCCTGTCTCAGTCCTGCCTTGTGCTATACAATCATTTTTTTTAAAAACCTGTTTAGATATCAAGGTTACCGGTGCACAAAGATTGTTAATAAGCAGAAGATTAATTTTTTGCTTTATATTTTTGTTGTTGGTTTGAGATAGGGTCTCGTGTAACCCAGGCTAGACTCGAACTTGCTATGTTATAAGAATGACCTTGAACTCTTGGTCCTCCTGCCTCTAACCTCCCAAGTGTTGATATTACAGGCTTCACCAATATGCAGGTTTGTGCTTCTTGTGGGGACTTTGTTTTAAAAAACAAAGCAAAAAAAACCCAAAAAACTTGAAGAAAAAAAAAAAAAACCCTCAAAATTTTAAGTAACAAATAAAATCATGGACTTAAAAACATGTAATGATACATTAACTAGTTGCAGCAAATGACTTACATCTAGTTCAGATAAACTTTTTGTTTGTTTGTTTGTTTGTTTTGGGGACTGAACCCAAAATTTTATACTTTCCCAGCCCTGAGCTTTAAAATGTTTGTGTTTTTGTGTGTTCTGGAAAACAAAAGTTTTCAAAGCTTACTGGTTTTCATAATGTGTCACTTAATCTGATTATCAGTTTGGGCCAGGCAGGTCAGACATTGTCTCCCACTTTCCACACGTGAAAGCTGAGTTGCTGTTTTATTTCCTTTAAAATACTTGACTTTTTACTTTTATTTTTCTGTGGGTGAGCGTTTTGCCTGCATGTTTCCACATATGCATGCCTCGGGCAGGAGGAGGCCAGAAAGTTTCAGATCCCCAGAGACTGGAGTCAAGTATGCTATGAGCCTTCCGATGGGCACTGGGAATCAAACCTAGATTCTCAGTAAAAGCAGCAGCAGCTAATGCTGTTAACCACTGAGCCATCACTCTGGACCTGGAGTTGTATTTTAAAAGCCTTGTGGTTTATGGTTTCTGAGAGAGGCAGAACTTGGACACAGGTTTTATTTTATTTCCAGTTTATTTACTTGTCATTTTGTGTGTGTATGTACATACAATCACACGCACACCACATGGGACAATGGAGGTCAGACATGGTTCTCTAGAATCGGTTCTTCCACCATGTGGATCTTAGGGACTGAAGTCACGAGGGGCTTTGGGCTTGGCAGTGGGTGCTCTCGCCCACCAAGTCCAGGCACTTATTTTTGTGGGGGATTGTAAACTCAGGGCTTTGTATACGCAAGGCAGGGGCTCCACCCCGAGCTATCCCGTGAACACACGTGCCCTTCCGTGGTGCTGGGGAGTGGAACCCAGGGATCTGTGTGCCCTTAGCTAGCACTGTGCTTTCTGTCTGGGTTTTTTGTTTTTGTTTTTTGTTTTTGTTTTTTTTTTGAGATTCAGTCTTATGTAGCCAAGGCTGGCTCCTGATCCTCTTAGCCTTTGCCTCCCATGTGCTAGGATTGCAGGCAGGATCCACAGCTTTGCTTTGTCTCTTTATGTTAAGACAAGAGTCACACTGAATAGTCCAGGCTGGGCCTCACTGTGGTTCTTTCCACATCAGTCTCCCTAGCAGTTAGACCCCAGGCTTCTTGGCCTGTACCCAGCAATGCAGAACTTCTCATTGCTAGAAATCCAGACAACAGCGTCTCCCACCCTCTGCTTGGTTTGAATGGTGCAGCTACAGGCTGGGCTTCCAGACAGACTTCCAGCTCTCTTCTCAGCTGTCATGGACACCCAGCCAGGACACCTGCCACTCTGCTTTCTCTTCTTTCCCTCTAGACTTGAAACTGGACACTTGAAACTGCTCAGGACTGAGCAGGCCTTGTCACCCTGAGAAGGTTCAGTGACTTAGTCCTCTGCCCTTGATTAACCTGATTCTCCCAGTCTTCTAGAAAGGTTCAAGGAAAACAAGAGTCAGAATGGAGGAGTGGATGGATGTTAGTGACTGCTTGCTCAAGCTGTGGGTGAATGCAATGGCCTTTCTAAAGGCTTGGTTTTCTTTTGTTTTTAGAGACAGGGTTTTTCTGTGTAGCCCTGTCCTGGACTGTCCTCTACTCACTTTGTAAATTAGGCTGGCCTTGAACTCACAGAGACCTGCCTGCCTCTGCCTCCTGAGTGCTGGGATTAAAGGTGTGCAGCACCACTGCCGGGCCTCACTGCAACTCTTATAAAGGAAAACATTTAATTGGGGCTGGTGTACAAGTTTAGCGGTTCAGTCCATTATCCTTATGGCAGTAAGCATGATGGCAGACATGGTGCTGGAGAAGGAGCTGAGAGTTCTACATCCGGATCAGCGGGCAGCAGGAAGAGAGCGAGAGACACTGGGCCTTTCTTGAGCTTCTGAAACCTCACAGCCTACCCCACCCCCATGACATACTTTCTCCAAGACCACCCCTCCCAACAGCGCCACTCCCTATGAGCCTATGGATGCCGTGTTCATTCAGACCATCACAGGAGGGTTTGTTTTTGTGTTCTTGCTACATCAGCTGTTACTGTTTGCTATGTAAACCAGGGTAATCATGAATTTGTCATGATCCTTCTGCCTCTGTCTCATGTGCTAGGTAGGATTACAATGGAAGGAAAGGTGAAGAGGGCACTGGGCAGTAACTTTGGATAGTGGCAGCTTGTTGAAGACTAGGAATACACACACACACACACACACACACATATGCATACATACGTAGTGAGCTGCTGTGTGAGTGCTGGGAATCGAGCCTAGGACCTCTGCAAGAATAACAAGTGTTCTTAATCTCTAGGCCATCTACCCAGCCCTAATTTTATTTTTAATTGGGGAGGGGGGCAGGAGTATGTGCCCATGCGTGCAGGAACCCTCAGAAGAGGGCAGTGGATTTTTGGAGCTGGAGTTACAGCATCTGTGGAGCATGTGATGTGAGCGCAGCAAGTGCTTTTAACTGCTTAGCCACCAGCCCGGGCTTATGAATGACCTTGATCTTTTCTGTCTCTGGATGTGAAAGGTAAAAGTTGAAATCAAGGCCATATTTCTACAGGCTTGCATTCTTTGTTTGTCTGTTTGTTTATCTTTTCTTTATTTTTTTATTAATTACACTTTATTCACTTTGTAGCCCCCCATAAGCCCCTCTCTCCTCCCCTCCTGGTCCCACCTTCCCTTCCCCTTCTTCACGAATGCCCCTCCCTAAGTCCACTGATAGGGGAGGTCCTCCTCTCCTTCCTTCTGATCTTAGTCTATCAGATCACATCAGGAGTGGCTGCATTGTCATCTTCTGTGGCCTGGTAAGGCTGCTCCCCCCTCAGGGGGAGGTGATCAAAGAGCAGGCCAATCAATTCATGTCAGAGGCAGTCCCTCTTCCCATTACTACTAAACTGCCATGGGCTACATCTGTGCAGTGGTTCTAGGTTATCTCCATGAATAGTCCTTGGTTGGATGTCTGTTTGTTTTTGAGACAGGGTTTCTCTGTGTAGTCCTGACCATTCTGAAACTCGCTTTGTAGACCAGACTGGCTTCAAATGCAGAGATCTGAATGTCTCTGCCTCCCAAGTGCTGGGACTAAAGGCATGTGCCGCCACTGCCCGGCTCTCCAGACTTCCATTCTAATCATGGGAGGACAAGAAACAGTATCCCACAGGAACGAGGCTATGGGAACCAGTGCTTTCTACAGGCAGGTGGGAAGGGCTGCTGCAAGGAGGCAGTGCTTGAGAAGAGGCCCTGAGGGGCTTGTCTTTACTCTGTGGCTTTTACGCTTAGCTTGATACTCATGGATATTGAGTGGACCAGAAGCAGGGATGGTCGGCTATGATGCCAAAGCAGATGTCAGGAATAACTCCAAGCTGGAGGTGGCGGTGTCAGGATCGGTGTCTGGATTTGTCACCCGTGCCCTGATCAGCCCTTTGGACGTCATCAAGATCCGTTTCCAGGTACCCTTTTCCCTCAATTTTTGTAATAGGCTGGAGGACAGGTTTAGTCCTTCCTGCAAAGGCAGTTCCTACAACTTGGAATTTTGTCAAGGTGAAGTGTTTTATTCCCTTCAATTTTCCCCTTGTCACTTGCCTCCCCGCCCCCACCTTTTATACTTTAATCCCCAGCTTCAGATTGAACGCCTGAGTCCAAGGGAACCCAACGCCAAATACCACGGGATCATCCAGGCAGCCAAGCAGATTCTGCAGGAGGAGGGCCCAGCCGCGTTCTGGAAAGGACATGTTCCAGCCCAGATTCTGTCTATATCCTATGGAGCTGTCCAAGTAGGTAGCAGGGAGGCTGGTCAGAGAACTGGTGAGGCAAGTAAGGGTATTGCTTTTGGTGG